TAACTTAGGTTTAAATTAGCTGCAAATAGAAAATGAAGGTATAATATCACATTGGATGACTAACTTAGCATTAGTAACAGCAATGCATTATAGGAATCTCATTAGCTTCACATATATTTCACCTTAATATATAAATGTACTAATTCTTCTCCTATTTGATATTATCATTTAATAAAAAAAATTTTAAATTATTTAATTAAGTTAAAAATAATCTTTAGCTCAAAGTTGATAGTAAATTTATATGTTTTTATTATAATTTTTATTATAAACAACATTTTAACCTTTTTAAGAAAAAAAATATTCTATGCTTATTATTTCAAAACTTTCTAAACTTACAAAACCAATACTAATAATATTTAAACTATAACAAACTACTAAAAAGAATATATAAAAAAAACTATAAACTAAACAAAACTAAATAAAATAACTAAAAACTAATCAAAAATATCAAAAATTAATCAAAAATACTAAACAACACAAACTAAAAATAAAATACAATACAGGAAAATTATAGAGGCAGTATCGGTATTGTTGATCCATATAAATGACGATTTTTTTTTTTTTTTATCCAATCATTACCATGCTTACATTCTTTCTATTACTGTATTAGTATGATGGGAATTGACCTATTCAATTCACCGTAACACCGTGTAGCTCAAACGAGAATATAAAATTAATATCTTACGCTCAAATTCGTAACGGTTTCCTTTCCAAGTAATTGTATCAATGACAGAATCGATAACTTCCCAACCTAAGAAAGTATGCCTTTCATATACAGGTATAGTTACATACCTTTATTAGTTGTATCTTCCGATTGTAGTTGACGATAAAATTACCAAATTTCGGTATTACAGTATTTCGTTTAATGGTAGAATTCATTACGGTCGTGAGACCGATAATGGAAGAAATTCGGAATTTTGTAATAACTTTTACCGTCAAACTATATCTCTGACTATAATATTTCTAATGATTAAAAGTTTTCAGGTGGTAAAGATTGCACATTAACACTACATCTATTATCCGCACAACCCGAAAAGTATAATATCACCTCACTTATAACATTTACACCTCCTGCGTCTACTACACGATTTCTCGCTCATCCACAACATTTGATAAAACTTCAATCTCAGGCTCTTACTCTTCCTCATCAATTTTTAGCTGTTACACCACCATATGTAGAATCATATCGTTCTTTAATAGAATCATGTAATGTTGATGTTTTAGCGACAGGTGATATTCTCGATGTTTGTAACCGATTTATGGATCGTGTTGTTGAAGGTACAGATATAGAATTAGTACGTCCACTCTGGGAACGTGAAAGGGCAGAATTAATTGAAGAATTATTCAAATTTGAATTTGAAATTTTAATAAGCTGTGTAAATTTGGAAAAAATGAAGGAAGAGGCAGCAAGAAAATTAGTTGGAAATATTCTTACACGTGATCTATATGAAAATGTTATATTAAAACAAGATATAGATGGTTGTGGTGAAATGGGAGAATATCATAGTATGGTATTAAATGGTCCATTATTTAAAAAAAGAATTGTTATTAAGAAAGGTAAACAAACAATTTCAGAGGATGGAAAGTTTTTATATTTTGAGGTTCAAGAATGTGAGACAGTTGATAAAACGTGTTCCGAATAAAATTTATATTAAATGTTACCATTTAAATTTTATGATTTAATTGAGCATGTTTTATGGATACATCATGGTCAGAATTAAGTTAAAGTCAGCTTTAGGTCGATCACATGAGGAACTTTCTGTAGACTTCTGTTTGAATAGCGATTGGAGTAAAAAGTGACTTGGTAAAATGAATTGTAGCGATGAACAACCATCAGTTGAGGAGAAGCGAAGAAACGGAGGATATCGATGTCGCTTTTCTTAGTTATAATAATTCCTATGCTTTCTCGAGAATTTCAGAATTCGTAGATTATAAGAACAATTTATATTTTATAAATAAAGACATTAACGTGTCCTCTAAATAACATATAACTATTATTACGTAGATATAATTCAATGATATTTTATTCAAAATTTTTAATTACAGTAGCTGAGAAGCGTGAACAGCAGTTTTTTTTTTTTTTTTTGATTTATAAGACGTGTCAAGCGATGGATGACCACTTAACGTATGTGAATTTTTATTATAAAAATATGTATCGGAATTTACTATTTCGGAGAAACTTAGCCTTTAAACAAAACTCTGGTATCACATGATTTAGACTTGTCACGAGAATCTTAAAATGTTCAATCAATTTCTTTTGATTTTCGATCTTATTTCGATAAACT